TTGTGCTTGTTCAGGTTCCTCAGGTGGTCTCGAAACTTCAGGAATCTTCAGGAAACTTCAGGAATCTTCTCTTACAGGGACTTTGCTCTTCCCCATCTTGCAGTCCATCCCTTTGAAAGGTGTGGGAAGAGACGCTGCCAGTGAAGACTGAGGCAAAGAAGTCATTGAGTACCTCAGCCTTCTCCTCATCTGTTGTTACCAGTTTTCAAGTCTTGTGCATCAAGGCAGGTACACTTTCTTTAACCATCCTTTTCTGGCTGATATACCTGTAAAAGCCCTTCTTATTATTCCTTGCATACCTGGCCAAGTTCAGGTCCTGCCATGCCTTGGCCTTTCTGACCCCATCCCTACACAACCAATAGTTTCTACTATTGGAAATGGAAAATACTAGCATTACCGTTACAAATCAATGGAAATATTACCAGTGGACACTAAAATCAGGTTACTAACCTGTCTTTCTAAACTACTACTGCCCTTGTGTATTTTAGAGCCAAAGAAAATATGTCATTAACACCATGGTAACTGGATTCTAGATATATAAGGCTGTAATTCTAATAAACATTTAACAATAATTGCAATTAGTAATAGTTAATAATGATTATAGACAATTTTAAGAACTAAAAAGAATTGCTTACGTGGGCTCTAGGGATCCAAGTTCCTCAAGGCAGGTACGTAAAGGAACCTTACTTAAAGACCAGGACTCTGAGTCTATTAGCTGAGTCACGTGATTCAAGAGTTTAATCTCATAGTCAAATTCTAGAATTCTCCAGTACCCTGCCAAATAAAACCCCACAAAACAGTGTTAGAAGGAAAATATTAACAGCTTAATTCTATTCCCCTGAAGATACATTACAGGAGTCTGGACATTTAGGTCACACCTTTACAAAGTACAGCGGCAGGATTCTGCCCTTTTCAGAATTAAAACTGAGAAAAAGAACAGAATAGTAAAAGCAAACATAAAGGAGAAAGAAATTAAATCATCTCAATTACTCATAACTGTTTATGTAGATTAACTGCCACAGATACAAAGACACTACAAATCCCATCCCAAGATGAACCAGATCTGGAAAAACTAGTATTACTTTTTAATTACTATTAATTCAGACACAGAACTGCATGAACAGAACCGGCTGCACTGGCCCTGCAAAGTGGCAGTTCAGGTCCAGCCAAGTTCACAGAAATCTAGATGTGAGAAAGCACAGATCTGATACAACAGTGCTGTGCAGCTGTAAGTGACAAGCAAAGTCACCTGTGAGACTGTCCTCACCTACCCAATGGGACAGTATAGAGTAGATGGAGCAGAAGTCATGGGCAGAAGCTCAGTGATGGGACAGGAGGCAACAAGCATAAGTTGCGTTGCATAATCCCCACTGGGTATTAGAAGATTTTTTTTCTCCTTGTGACAGTCAAACATTGGAACTGTGAAACCTCCATCCTTGGAAATGCTCAGAACTTGACCAGCCAAGGCCCTGAGCAGCCAGCTCCAAGTTAACCCTGTTCTAAAGCAGGGGTTTGGATCTGATAACGTCCAGAGCTCAGTTCTGCCCAGTATTATTCTAAGACTGTAGGAGTGCTGTCACCTGGCATCCAGGTGAGAGTTTGGGCATGGCCAAGTACAGGATGAGTAGGACCTGTCCCAACGTGAGGCACTTTCTCCAGCTTTGCCTCACATAGAAGGAAGGCTTCTGAGATAAACCCAGTCTGGGAGGAAGAAAGGACTATGAAAGGGCTGGGGTTATGTGAAGATCAGCTATTTTTGCCTCTAGAACTGCAGAAAGTGGTACCCACTCATCCATGAAGAGGGCAATCAGCCAAAAAATATTCATGCTATGGGTGCGATACTCTGATGCCAGCAGTAGATGCAAAGAAAGAATTACCCTGGAAAGATCCAGGCTGGTCGATGCCTGCTCAGTTTTATCTTTTTGACCAGCTTCACAGCAGAAAAGGATATAGGATACATGGAAGGGGATCTTATTACTGTGAAGTAACTTGCACCTTGAAAGATGAGGATGTGGAAAGGGCCTTAGAAAAAGAAGACGCAGATATTTGGGGGAAAAAAAACAGGGTTGTTTCCTCATAGGCAACAATATTCTTTAGAGACAAATACCTTCAATTTTGCAGGCATCTATAACCTGCAATTGGCGCAGTATTTCTTCTTCACTTGCTTGAATCAGATTTAACAAATCTTGCGTCGTATACTGCAACAAGGGGAAAAAAAGAGGAAATAAAACAGGTTATCCTTACTCCTCCTTTGTCTTCAGCAAGCACGATAATGCATTTTAAGATATAATGAACGACAGACTTAGAAAATTGATTTTTTTCTGCAGATTGTGAATTTTCTAAGGTTTATCACACTCTCCAAAACTTGTCCTGTAACTTACAACATTTTTTCAAAGAGTTATTCAATACAAAAGCCAGTCTCACTACAGGGAAGCCTTTGTGCCATGCATAAGTAATATACCTGTATTCCTAGGGTGTCAAACTAGCACAAGTAGGTAGGAATGAAAAGTGAATGTGTTCTGTCTTTTCAGATATTTTAATCTATGAGATTCAAAGAAAAGGCAAATCAAAAATCACTTATCACTTCTGGGTAAGTCAGAACTCCAACTTAGGACCTCCACTGAGTGAACGCCTCCTCCAGCATGACCTCAACAGTTATGTGTTGTGTTTTGGTGTCTGCTAACCAATTAGCAGACATGTAGCACAGACCCAGCCATAGTACATACAGGTCCTTGCAGATCAGTTACTTCATTGAGATGGGAGGGTGCTGTGGATACTGTGGTAAAGATTTAGGAGACACAGGAGGAAGAGAAGGTATCATGAGGAGTGAAGTAAAGAGAAGGACACCAGACTTCAATCCATAGGAAACAGGGCTTCATCAATTCCTTTATTTGCCTTACAGCCTAAAAAGGCAACTCAATCTACTCAATCAATTCTAATATTAAAGTTTTGTTGATTATAGCATACTAGAAAAAATTGGATTAAGCACTTGATATCTATTAGACTAGTGGAACACAAACGGAAAAAAACACTAAGTTTGGACATCCACATGTTAAAAAAGCACTTAATAAATACAGAAAGTTTTCCTCTTCCTGCTATGCCATTCCTATTAGACAGTATGTTGAAACACCAACAGGGTAAGCAGCATTGACTCACATCAGTATTTCAGCAAGGGATGACCATATTACACAGAACTTTAAAAACCACTGCTAGCAATTTAGAGCAAATGTATCCCCTGGTCAATATGTAAGTGTGTTTGTGAGTTTAGATACTGCCATGCAATTACGACCCTGCACAGGAGTCCTTGACATTTGTTCCTTCAGAGGCCTACCTAGCACTCCAACAGCTTATTTAAAGAAATCACTGCTCTCAGCTGTGATGCTTTTATGAGCTGCATGACCCTTGCAAACGTGAAATGGAATGGGTTGACTTGCATCTTGTCCACACCAGCAATTTCCAGATAATGTGTTTAATGTATTTCTTATCCTTAACTCAGACATGTGCAATCATTTGAGTATGCCTTGCCATTTCACTGTAAAATCCATTATTTTAATTTGGTGCATCCTCAGCAACCTGTGTATTAGCTCATTTATAAGTTTTCCTGTAGTTTGCTAAATTACATCACTATGTAACAGGCTTCCTTACAGTATTTCCTTGTAGTGCTGCAGTTCCTTATGGCTCTTTTGCTGTGGTTCTCTGGGTATGATACAGTACTGAAAACCGGGAGAAGCTTACAGTAAACCACTAAAAAAAGAGTAACTTGCTTTCAAACAGCTTAAAGGTGGCTTATTAGTTGCCAGAACTCAATAAATATTAAGTGTAAGCAAACAACGGAGTGGAAATCTTTACTACACACATATTGTTTGGGATTCCAGTGAGAATTAGTGCCATAAGAAAAAGATATGTCTAGTTGTTCTCCAGTAAGCTGATATAGGAAATACATTCTCCTTCAAAACAAATCAAGAAGATCAGTCCTCAAACTAGGTATTAATGTTTGGGGAGATATTGACATATTTTTATAATATTTGTTCAATATTATCAATAAATATTATTGCATATGACTTTTTTTTGTGTTGCTAGCTTTTGTCATTGTTTATAATTTCTGGACAATTTAAGGCCTTTTCTCTCTGCCATCCCTTATTTTGCTGTGTGTCCTTCTATGCCTACAGCAGTGTAGGTGGGAAAAGGCAATTTCTGAAACTTATCAGAAATTAGTCCATGAATCATCCAGAAAGAGAGAGGCAGCATTTCTCTCCAAGAGAGAAAAGTGACAGCTATGTTTGTACATCCAAACACACACAGATGGTTTGTGAGGATCAGCTTCAACCAAGCCTCGGCATTACTTTGGAGTGACCATTTCTGTTTTTTAAAGTCAAAAGGAAAACCAACCAAACTAACAAAACCCCAGGATTTTTATCAGCCTTTTATCCGAGATCGTATGCTACACAGTCCAGGTCTCTCTGTTACTACTTAGATCCCAAATTGGATTTCCTGGAAACATAAAAGGATAGCAGGACAGGATTTTATTTGTGTTTTCCCTTCTTGTAGCATCAGTCTTATTCTCTGCAACTCCTTGCTTCACCTTGTCATCATAAATTACTGATTGGCAAGTGACTTGCACATGGGTGTCCTCTGACCTCATACTTAGCTCATACGTATGTCACACATGACAGCCCTAAAGAAGAGGGAAAGGCTGCATTATACCTTAGTAGTCATATAACTCTCAAGGAATCTCAAAAAAGTCCTGAAGACTGTCTTCAAGAAACTTCACATATAAAAAGGAAAACCCCAGTCTCTTCCGGTGTCCTTCCTTTTCCTCTTTTCACTAAAAAAACATTGCTTAGCTGGCTACTCAGAGAAGTGCTAATAGTTACCAACTTCTTTAGAATAGTAGGCTTAAAAAATTAACTACAAGCAGCACTGTGAAACATGGAAGGAAAGGCATTTTTCTAGTTAAGAATGTATTTTCACTTTAATTTGTCCATCACCAATTACAAGAAAGTAACTTATGTAGCTGATTTACCTTTGACAATGTCCAAGTCTGATCTTTCCGACTATCTGGCCCTTCATAGGGATCTTCCTTTAAAAGCTTCCTGAGTTTCTTCAGTTTAGGTCGACATCTCCTTAATTCCCAGTAGTTATTGGAGAAGCCCGCAATCTACAAGAAAAAACAGCGACTCTTAAAGTATTTTCATCTACCATTTGGATTCAAAGCAGCTTGCCAACCAGCAAAAAGTGTTAATCTAGTCACTGAGAACAAGAATTTATTAATAGGGTAATTGCCTTAAAGATGAAATAATCATAGATTTTTTTAATAGAAAATATTACAATCTCAGGCAATGAAGAATAAAAAAACACTGTTGGTTGATAAAAATATGTTCAATGACAAAGGGAACAACTCATCCCGACATGCAAATGACAGAATATCATCATGGGATATATTCCTGCACAATCCTCATCAACATTTCTTTTCCTCTAAATACTAAGTTATACTACTGCCATAGAACCCTCTCTGTACTATCCTGTTTCCATCTTCCCCACTTCTTCCCATGCTTGGGATCTACTTCACAGTCTTTTTACAACTTAATGAATCATCATATCACTAAGCTCAAGTAAAACAGACATTAACAAGACAGTAAGCTACACTTGCAAACAACTAACAAGACATCTCTGTTCCTTACTCGGATTCAACACACAAATTTAAAGCATGCAACAGGATACCCAGGTGTAATTGATTCAACAACACTAATCTGATAAAACTTTACCTTCAGAGTAATCCTGAAGCATTTAATGGGGTACAGCTTGGATTTCCTAGAAGATTCATTGACAAGCACAGAGTATCGGGAGCCTTTCAGGATTGCTTCTGTTATTTATCAAACCGATAGAAGTGGGTACCGAATGGCAGAGGCAGAACAGGCTCCAGGTTCATGACTCCTGATCCAACCACTACACCCTTGTAAAAAAGTCTCCAGATAGTACTTTAAAATACCCTAAATGCTTAACCAGACTACTTTTTTTTTTTTAGGTCATCCATTAAAACTTTAAAATAATGTTCCATTTAAATCAACTATAAGCAAACCACCTATATGTAGAATAAGTCCTAACCAAATTCTAATACAAAGAAAGCTCTTAGTTTTTAATCTATTCCATAGCTGGCTTGGCACAAAGTTCAGGTAAATACTAATACTAAATACTAATACTTTTTCCCTCCATGTCAAATAGCATTTACCTAAGTGTCAGTTCTTTTCTGAGCAATTTAGTAATGAACAAGAAGGTACTCTGCACAGAAAAGAAAATAAATAATTCTAATTTATAATCCAAAACCCGTAACTGGAGCTGGTCTGTGTGACGTGAGTAAAATGGCAGATGCTTTGGCCATATTAGCCTCACAAGTGGTACAAAGAGCAGCACCGAGACTGCAGAGGGCAGTGAAGCCCCAAAATACTGAATAAACATAGTATCCTTTGCTATGCTTCACAATTTGCAGTGTCAATACATCATGTACCGTTTCTGAAAACATTAAGAAAGCTCTTAGAAACAAAAGTCTAAAAATAAATCACATGTATTGGGTTTGCATGGCAAGGTTTTGGTAGTGGGAGGGGTTGCAGGGGTGGCTTCTGTGAGAAGCTGATAGAGGCTTCCCCTATGTCTGA